GTGCCTGCTTCTCAGACATTTCAAACCCAGTTCTTTCTTCATCACTGTCCAAGTAGTATGAATATTTAATTTTGATTTGGACCTGAGCAATAAAGCCTCCAAGGGACTATTCAGAATAGTCCAAATGCCCAATATTAATGGATTCTTTCTTAAAACAGTAGTTGAATGATATTAAATTACTGAGTAATTACCGAGGAAACAAGGAAGATATAGTCCCTGCCCCCAACAATCTGGTTATGACATGTTGCCAAATGACATAAGCAAGATATGAGGAACTAGGTCACAGCAGTGTAGAGGACCTAAGGAGTCGTGAGTTGCTTTTGGTAGGATCACAAGTTGTCTCTTGATGAGCGAGGACATGAATACAGACAGATAGAGAAGAAGAGTGGGCAGAATACAGAAGGCCAAGAGAATGAACCACATATTTTACAGCCTGATGAAAGCCCAGAATGTAGTAGAGGAAGGTAGTGCGGGAGGAAGGGAGTAGGGGAGGAGGTATCCCCCATGTAAAGCAAGCACTGAACAATGCTATGTGGAAAGTGGTTTTTATACAGCAGCTAATTTTTTAAAGTAATGTCTATAAAAGTGACAACTTTGTTTTGGCCAGGCAGCATTCAAAAGGGCAGTTAGTTTCTACAAGTCACAGCAATAGTAGACTCAAGCCATCCTAATACTCTTTTTTAAGGAAAGTGAAGAGCCCAGAATAGCAAAGGCTGTTGAGAAATCTAGAGGAAAATGAGTAAAGGTGTATATGCCCCTTTCACCCTCTGAATTCCCAAGTATCACAGAAATAAAATACAGTGATCTGTCCCAAATATGACCAAGTAAGTGAGGCATATTAGCAAAGGGAGTAATTTTGAAGACAGTGTGACATTAGCAGTGGTCATAAATTCTTTGATACCTTTGCTAGATCTCTTTGATGTCTTCTTGTTTCCTTCAGAGGTAATTTCAATTTCATCAGGATTACCCCCTTCATCTTCAATTGCCTAAAGGAAAGGTAAATGGGGAAAAAGAATTTCACCATGAAAGTCAACAGAGACTTGACTTTCACAGAAGCTCGGGGTCAATGATTTGGAAGTGCATCACCTTCACTCCTTCCATTCTTTCTTGCTCTACACAGTGAAGCAAGAGCTCTGGAGTTAGGTGATAACAGTTCTAAGCTCTGTGGTGTTAAGGAGATTTAATTAATCACTGTTTTCTACTTCATAATGTGGGGTTACACAAAAATACAGCACTTACATTAAAAGCTGTGTGAGAACTCTATCCCCCATGTAAAGCAAGCACTGAACAAACTACCGTCTTATTTTTGACATTACCACTACAATCTGGTTTATCCTATTCCCGGGCTCAATGGAACTGAAAAACGGAAAGGCACTCTCCAGTCTCCCATGATTTCACCTGCTATTTGACCTCAGAAACCCCTCTCCATGCTACCCCTGCACTCGACACTGTCTGTATAGAATACAATTTGTTGGCCGAGTTCCTACTGTGTGTGGCTCGGAACAAGACATGACATGTGGTACTTCATCTATGACTGATTCTAAAGGTCTTGCTCTCAGCCAGTAGAGGACTCACCTCAAAGGGTACAGAATTAGAAGATCTTGACAAGCCCAGCCTCCCACCCCAAGAACTTGTCACTCAATACAACAGCCCTACCCACACTCAGCAAATCAGTACTGAACATGTCAATGATATCCCTGAAAATTGGGCTTCAGGTTTTACTAATAACCCTTTCTCTTTTTACTGTACTATCCAATGAGCATAATTTTCCTATAAATCCACTTCAAATACTGCATTTTATTTGTAGACCGTTTCAGATTCTCAGGAGTTGCCAGCTTGCTATCTGAATTTAGAATGGGACTGGGGGCGTCCTGCACCTACCTAATCTGTATCAGGAGCAAATAAAACCTCTCTCGTCTCCCTGAAGCCAGATCTAGAGAAAAATCAAAGTTCTGCCCTGGGATCAAGGAGCAGACAACCAGAGAGAGAATAGAGCTGTTCTAGACAGGAGGAGTACATTTCACCCTCACTCTCATTGGGGTGCAGTGTTTACAGGATCATCTCTATGGGGACTGAGAGCTCTGAGTCATCTCATAGGCCTTGGCAAATTAACTTTGTTGTGTGATCCCTCCATCTTTTCCTCTTCTGCCGTCCAGGAAAAATAAACCAAGGAAGGGATACAAATTGGATGACAGAACTTGGAGAGAAAGAGAAGATCAGCAATAATTCCAGACTTGCTTGGGCATGGTAGACAAGTTCATAGGCTCCCGGTATTTACTAGTACATAGTACCCTTGTCCCTAAGAAACTGAAAGGAGGGAAAAAGTGGGATGGATTTGTCCCCTGAAATATGTCAGTGATGAAAGATGCAGTCTCAGCTACCCGCCTGACAGGAGGATTTGATACCATCTTAACAGCTGTGCAGGCCTGCAGACTGTCTTGGGAGGAAAAAAGCATAAAATGCCCAATTTGGTTTTGTTGACAGGAGGCTCTGGTGGCTGAGAACATGGACTACATCTTCCCAAGTGCCAACCCTCACCACCCTCGTTGCTTTTCCTCTAGGTAAACATCTGGGTTAATGAACTGCCTGCCCTGAATAAAGGAATTTAGTATTCATAGTGAATAAAAGTTAAGGAAGTTAGTATCCATAGTGAAAGAATATAAGCTCTAGTTAGAAAGGCCCCAACTGGCTCTGGGCACGTCACCTCACCACTCGTGAGCCTGAGCTTCCTTATCTGGGAAAGTAAGAAAAATAGGAAAAATATCTACTTCCTCTCAACAGCACTCAAAATAAAAAATAAAACCCCAGCCCTATCCAGTTTTGCTCAGTAGATAAGAGCATTGGCCTGTGGACTGAAGGGTCCCAGGTTCAATTCCGGCCAAGGGCATGTACCTTGGTTGTGGCACATCCCCAGTAGGAGGCAGCTGATTGATGTTTCTCTCTCATCAATGTTTCCAACTCTCTCTCCCTCTCTCCTCTCTTCCTTTCTGTAAACAATCAATAAATACATTTTTAAATTAATTAAATAAATAAAACTCCATTCCTTATGTGTTTGGGAGTCAGGGTGGAATGAGTCACACAGCACACTATCTGCAGGGAATGTAGACAGGGGTGAAGGCTGAGGGTCTCAAGACAAGAGGAGGCTGGTTGATGTTAACCTATGAATGAGGTCACTTGTTTAATTCCGGGTGAGTGGGGGGCTGCTGGCTCCATCCCCATTAGGGGCCTTTCAGCAGGCAGCCTATCAATGATTCTCTTGCATCATTGATATTTCTACTTCTCTCCCTCCCTCTCTGAAATCAATAAAAAATAAAAATAAGAGTTAGGTGGAGAAAAGGTTAAAAAAAAATGAAGCTAACAAGGATAAGAAAAGCATAAGAGATGCAAACATTTACTTGACTCCGTGTTTCTCACACCTATCCTTCAGTACCCCTTCAGGTAGGGATTACAGCCCCCATTTTGGAAATGACACAGAGAAAAAATGACTTGTGACAGCGATCAGATTCCCAGTGTTTATATGCACCAGGCAATATGCCAAGGCCTTTCAGGCACTATGTTTTCCTTCTTTTTACACAAGCAGCAGCGGGCTCAGAGAGGATTAAACGTCTTCCATGCAAAAGATGAGGCTATAGAAGCCCCAAGAGCCCTAATCCCGGTCGCACACTGCCTGCCCTTTGGGGTAAGCCTTCTCGGTGTCTTCCCCAAGCCCGTCTTTTACATTTCTGGTCCCTACTGCAAACGACACTTTCCCTTCCGTGTTGTACCTCCAAGATAGTGATGACAAGCCCCAAATTGGTTTTGCCCTTAAAATATTTCCTTTACATGCTCACTTTATAAATTAACCTCCTATTCAAGGATCGTTGGTCCTAAAATCAACATCAATCTTTGTCAAAAAGACTCCCGCGCCGGCGAGGGCTCAGGGACTCCGTCGTCTTGGGTTCAAATCTCGTCGCCTCCTCTCCCCGACCGTGTGACCTTGGCCGAGTCCCCTGCCTCCCCCAGGAAGAGAGGATTTCAGGATTCCCCATCCATTTTTGGGAATGAGAGGAAAGCCCTCAGCCAAGCGGTTGCTGCGGAAAGCAAGCCATCGGGCGATGTAAGCCGCCATCCAGGGCTGCGCGGCTCGGCTTCCCCCCGTCGCGTCAGGTTTTCCTTTCCTTTCCTCGCCCCACTGCGGCGCTGGGATGTGAACCTGGGCCTGGCTGGGCCCGCCGCTCCCGCTGGGGCCTAGGAGGGGCAGGGAGAGGCACGGAGCGCCAGGCCGCAAATGGGGGCCGGAGGCGGGCCCCGAGACCACACAAACTCTGCTGCGGCTGCGGAAGTCCCACGACCCAACTGTGTTCCAGGCAGAGGGCCCCGGCCCTACCTTTCTGAGCCTCTCCATCAGGGCGCTCTTGTTGCCGCTCGAGTCGAGGTTCCGTTTCTTCAGCTCCGCCCGCAGATCGATCACCCGCAGGTCGCTGAGGCGCCGCGTCCCGGTCTCAGACGAGGCGGAGCTCAGAGCCGCAGCGCCCGCCGCACCCGAATCGCCTAGGCCTGAGAGAGCCTCCGCCATTCCAGGGACCCTGGCTTCGCCACCCACTTCACACAGAATCGGGCCTGGGTTCTCTCAGCTCCTAGCACAAAATGACGCCACCAGCCAGAGAACGGCTTCAGCCCGCCCCGCCTCGTCTCGCTTCTGCGCAGGCGCACCTGGCGAAGGCCCGGATCCTCGGTAGCGTCTGGGACTGTGAGGAGAGCGCCTGAGGGGAGGTGCGCAGGCGCGTCGCGACACTTCAGCCTCCCGCAGCGTACGGCCGGCACGCAAGCGTGTTGTATCTACGGCGCCTGCGCGTCGTTGGCAACCCGCAGTTGTGGCTCCTCAGAATGCCTGCAACAGTCTGGAAAGCGGGGCGGGAAGAAGTGATTGCGTTTTCCTCTTAGGCAGCGCCATTTTGTGCTCCGAGCCGCTACAGCCGCCGGCGGTGTGGGGAGTAGGTGCCGGAGACGGGAAGCTCGGGATGGCGGAGACCCTGGCGGGCTCTGGCGACTCCGGTTATGACTCGGCTGCTGTGAGTCCCGGCGCCTCGGAGTCGGGGACCCGGCGGCTGAGCGAACTGCGAGTGATCGACCTGCGGGCGGAGCTGAAGAAGCGAGACCTGGACTCGGGAGGCAACAAGAGCGTCCTGATGGAGCGACTCAAGAAGGCGAGGTGGCACGGGGCACGGGGGTGGCAAAGGGGGTCGGGGTGCGCCCCCGAGTGGACCTGTCACCGCGGCTTCTGGATCCGGGCGTCTGCGGCCCGCCCCCCTCCCCCCCACTCCACCCCGGCCTGAGCTGTCCGGAACGAGGGCGCCTGGCTGTGTGACCTTGGCCCGTTGTCGTCCCTCTCTGTGCCTTGTTTCCTGCCAGGTAGTCGCCTCTAGTGCGCTGACAGCCTGCCTCCTGACTCCTCCCAGGCGCGAGTTTTAGACTGGGCTCTGTGACCTTGTACAAGTGCCCGTGTCTCGGACTCATTTTCCCTCCCGGGAGTACAGATGTTGAAGGACCTTTGAGATCTTGCAGGAAAGGGAGCTGTGCTTGTACCTGCCCCAGCCAGCGCCTTCGCCCTACGCCAGAAGGCTCCTCTCCCAGGTCGCCTGGCTGACTCCTTGTCTTTTGGATCTGTTTGAGATGTCACCTCCCTGGTCACCCTACCCTGTCTAAATCACCTTCAGTAACGTGCAGTCCCCCCCTCCCCCCACCTCACTTTCTCTTGTCATCCTGTGCTTATTCCCCTCAACACAACGCATAACCCAAACTTGAATATGGAGGATTGTCGTGTCTCCAACCAGAGTGAGAGCCCAGTCTTGTGCCAGGCAGGAGGAAAGCACTGAAGCTGCTTCCCCAACCCAACCAGGGTTGGGTCCTCCCTCTCCGTACTACCCCAGGCCAAAGATGGCTTGGTACAAGCCTCTTGCTATTATTTGTTATATTGTTAACTTAAACTAGAAGGTTGGGCAGTTTCAAGGTTATGGGCCAATTTGCAACTGGTCATTGACCCTGATTCTGAACACCCTTTCACACACCCCTTTGTCTTGGGGTGTGAGGGGAGGTGGTGCAGAGAGAACCAAGTTGTGCTGGGTTCATCCTGAGTCTTGTGGGCTTGAAGCCTAGATAGCAGAAACAGACTTGCCCTTTGCAAGGAAGAGTTAGAAGTTGTTACTTAAAAACTACAATGTGGTGCTGAAACCGGTTGGCTCAGTGGATAGAGCGTCAGCCTGTGAACTGATAGGTCCCAGGTTCGATTCCGGTCAAGGGCATGTACCTTGGTTGTGGGCACATCCCCAGTAGGGAGTGATCAATGATTCTCTCTCATTGATGTTTCTAACTCTCTATCTCTCTCTCTTCCTCTCAGTAAAAAAATCAATAAAAATATATTTAACCCCCCCCCCCCCCCAAAAAAAAAAAAATACAGTGTGGGTCCTGCAGCTCTCGATAATGTAAAATCCATCTCTTCCTGACAGGCAGTTAAAGAAGAAGGCCAGGATCCTGATGAAATTGGTATCACATTGGAAGCCACAAACAGGAAGACAGCAAAGAGAAGTGTTAAAGGTATCCACCTGTACTTACTGCTGCTGGAGGCCCAGTGTTGTGAGAGCTTACTTAGAGAACTGTCTTCTTAGCACTCTTTCTGCCCTCCGGGCCAGGAGGAGAATGTCTGCAGCTGCCATTGTCCTCATCTCCTAATTAGCCTGCTCTTCACCAGCGAACAAGTAACTTTGTCAGGGTGCTGGAGGAGATACCAAGTAAAATTAAAATACATGCTGAAAACATCTCAGTTCTTGCCATCGGTATTTAAAAAGAACTAGAGTGAGACCCTCTAAAAGCTGTCCTGACTGGTTTGAGCACCTGCTGTGGCTTCCTTCCTGGTTCAAAAAAATACGACTTAAATCAAGGAAAATGACAACCACCCAAGACCAAATAGAACTCAGCTTCTCTGTGGTCCAAAATAGATTGTCAGAGTATTTGTACCCAGCCTCTGTTTTTACTACTGTGATTTTTAAAAAATTGAAGATATAATTCAAATACTATACAATTCACCTACAGTGTACAAGGCAGTGCTTATTCACTGTGCAGTCATCACCAATGTCTACTTCTAGGTATTTTCATTACCTATGTCATGCCCATACATTAATTCCTTTATGGATAATACCTATTATTTTTGGAAGGGTTTAATTTCAGAAAACTTTGAAACCTTGCTCCCCTTATTGTAGGGAGGAATTACTTATTGTATTAAAGTGATGAAGAAGAATTAACCAAATGTCCTCATTATTAGATTTTACAGTGATAAGGATAATATAATTTCGAGAGTGGAGGACAGTTGTTTAGAAAGTCAAAAGAGCCAAAGCAGATTTGGTTTAGTGGATATAGTGTCAGCCTGCGGACTGAAAGGACCCAGGTTTTTGCCATCTTCCAGTCTGTTTTTAGGACTCTGTGTAATATTTTTTATTTCAGACAATGTTTTCTTCATTTCTAGTTGATCCCTTTTTATTTCTAGTTGATCCCTTTTTATTTCTAGTTGATCCCTTTTCATATCCTCATAGGTCTCATTTATTTTATCGGCCTTTTTAAGGATGTTCTTGAAAAGCCTTATAACTGTAGTTTTGAACTCAATGTCCATTCTTTTTATTTTCCTCCATTTCCTTCCTTTGTGTCTTGCATCTTCTCTGCATTTTAGCTGTTTCCCTGATTTGATGGAATAGTTTTGTGTGCTAGGTGTTCTGGTAGAGCCCAGTAGCACAGCCTTCTCAGTTATCTGAGGTGGTATAGTCCTTTGTGGGCTGTGTGCAGTCTTGTTGTTTGTTAAGCCTTGCTTATTTTTGGTATCACTAGAAAGCATTGATCTCCAAGCCAATTGGCTGTGAGGATCAGCAGTATCTCAGCTAGGAGGGCTTCTCTACTCAGCTTGGATGGGGCTGAGTCTCAGGGTGGTGCAGACAAGCTTTGGTTCCCTGTCAGTCTTGCCTTAGGAAAGTCCTATTCGCAGTGAGTCTCACAAGATTGGTTGCAGGCGCGCACACCTCTTTGGTATACTAGGCACAGACAAGCTTTGGAATCCCTTCAGTCTCTCCTTAGGAAAGTCCTATTTGTGGTGAAAGCGAAAGCCAGCCTCTGGGAGAGCTTCTGTGCTCAGCTTGGATGGGGTGGAGTCTCGGGGTGGTGCAGACAAGCTTTGGTTTCTTGTCAGCCCCTCCCTGAGTCCCGCAGTAATGACCATTGGCTTCACACACCTCCGAGAGATCTCTGCCCGCTGCCTGACAATCCGACCTCACCCTGACTGGGGCCATCTATCAGAGCAATTTCTCGAACAAGAAAGCCAGCCGCGAGTTAGCTGTCCACCTTCTCTGTGCGCCTGGAGCAAGCCAGCAGTGAACTTGACCTTTTGTCTCTGCTTGCTGGGAGTAAGTCAGTAGTGAACTTGGCCCGCCCTCTCTGCACGCCCTGAGCAAACCAGCCTTTTTGCGCGCACAGTTCTCTGCACCCTCACAGTTCCTGAGACTCAGCGTGCCTTCTCTCTCCTTCCCAGATGGTAGAGCCTCCTCTCAGTCAGCTGCCCGGCCCTTCAGGGCAATGTTTCCAGTTCTATATTCAAATTTGTTGTGGTAGGCTACATTCGGGTGTCCACCCTATGCCGCCATTTGGTTTCTCTGAAGTGTTCATTAATCGGTTTTGAAATTTTTTGAAATGCTTAGATATTTTGTTAAAAATCAAATGCTTTTTGTTTGATAGTATTACAGAAATCCTAGATATCATATACCAATGGAGACAAAATTGCATACATTGAAACAGGCACTTTGACTGATTGGCTCTATGGTTGGGTGTCTGTCTACCCATGAACCAGGAGGTCATGGTTTGATTCACGGTCAGGACACATGCCTGGATTGCGGGCTCCACCTCAAGTATGAGTTGTGTAAGAGGCAGTTGATCAATGATTCTCTCTCATCATTTTTGTTTCTATCTCTCTCTCCCTCTCACTTCCTCTCTGAAATAAATTTAAAAAAAATTTTACTTACGTAGTAAAATACTTAAAAAACAACAACAACAGAAAACAAAACAGGCACGTCTTCTATTTTTTTTGTAATGTGTTCTAAGATTGAAATCTATCATTGTGCATAAGTTAATTAAAAGCCTACACCTGAGTGTTATCTGATTGAACAATTATTCTGTAATTAGGACAGAAGATAGAGGAAGAAGGCACAGGAGATAATGGCCTAGAAGAGGATTCCAGAGACGGGCAGGTAGGTGGCATGTCAGTGGCGACAGCAGCAGGAGCTCTGAGTCCTGGTCTGCGTGGTCATTGATACCTCTCTTTCCTCTTTATAGGAGGATGTGGAAGCAAGTTTGGAGAGCTTGCAGAATATTGACATGATGGATGTTAGTGCGTTAGAAGAAGCTGAAATGGAGAACAGCAGTGCCCCAGACTTTGAGGATGATGGCACAGACAGCATCCTCGATTCCCTTTGTGATAGCAAAGAGTATGTGGCTGCACAGCTGAGTGAGCTTCCAGCTCAGCTCACAGAACATGATGTAGGTAACACCGAGACACGTGGAATGTGGCAGGAGGCTCTAGGCTCCCAGTGCTTGTGTGCTGTTTATATGGGCAAGAACATGCTAAGGGTTGGTTGATTAAATAACAAGCAGCAGCTGAAACCGGTTTGGCTCAGCGGTAGAGCGTCGGTCTGTGGACTGAAAGGTTCCAAGTTCGATTCCGGTCAAGGGCATGTACTTTGGTTGCGGGCACATCCCCAGTAGGGGGTGTGCAAGAGGCAGCTGGTCGATGTTTCTCTCTCATCGACGTTTCTAGCTCTCTATCTCTCTCTCTTCCTCTCTGTAAAAAATCAATTAAATATATTTAAAAAAATAAAATAAAAAATAAAATGTCACTTGTTCTTTAAAAAAAAAATTAAATAAATAAATAAATAAATAACAAGCAGCAAAATCAGTCACCATAAACATTTAATTTAGGAACTGAACCTTGGTGATAAATTCTGTCCATTTAAACTCAACATAGGTCAGATATTAATAACTTCTTCGTTAATGTTTCTGTAGTATTGGAGACTATTTCTAATTGGTGGGAGACACTTTTCTAAGCATAAGCCATAAAAGTTTGCACAGTTGATAAAAGTATTTTCCTTTTATAAATGTAGGTTAAAAAAACACAAACAACTAGAAAGATAAAACAATAACAGTTTATAACTTAATCATCCAGATAATCTAATAGATATTTTTAAAAGTTTATGCATAAGACAGTCATGCCCTGGTTGATTTGGCTCAGTGGTTGGAGCATCAGCCCACTGACTGAAGAGTCCCAGGTTCATTTCCAGTCGGGGGCATGATCTTGGTTGCAGGCTCGATCCCTCGCCTTAGTAGGTGCGCATGAGGGAGGCAGCCAGCCATTGAGTCTCTCTCACATCGACATTGCGCGCGCTCTCTCTCTCTCTCTGTTCTCCTTTCCACTCTAAAAATCAGTGGAAAAATATCGTCAGGTGAGGATTAACAATAAAAAAATAATAACACTAGCTCTAACTGGTTTGGCTCAGTGGATAGAGTGTCAACCCTGGGACTGAAGGGTCTCGGATTCACTTCCAGTCAAGGGCTCGTACCTCAGTTGCAGGCTCAATCCCTGGCCCTGGTCACGGTGCGAGGGGAAGGAAAACAATGTGTGTCTCTCTCCTCCTCCTTCCCACTTTCTAGAAATTAATGGCAAAATATTCTCTGGATTAACGACAAAAGGATAGTTAATCATATTAAAAGGTATGACATACAGTGAAAAAAAGTATTTGTCACCCCAGAAAAACCCCTTCCATTAAAGGGATTCACATTAATGTCCTGGTGTGTAAGGTAGGGCTTTAATTCTGTTACTGGTATCTCCTTCCCAAGTTCTCCCAGTATTTTGGCATAGAGCTCTGTGGCCATCCTAGAAATAATGGTCATTTGAATCTTACCAACTTGGCATGCCCAGCCATTCTAGTTTGGTTGTGTTGTTTATTTAAGGCATTATACCTTAAATTAAGTAATTGCCCTCGAAGGACTGAACTTTAAACCTTCAAGGACAAAAGCCACAAACTCCAAACATCACTGCTCAACCTAGGATAATACTAAGCAACTGATTTTCCCTCTCTAGGCGTGATCCTGTTGTATCATGTTATTTTCAGAGAATGTACTTGGTTTCTAACTTCTTGGTTAATGGAAGTGTCCAGGTTATAAGGTTCAAACTTATAAAATGATAAATATTTGGAAAGGGATATTTTTGTATTATACTTAGAAAGGTAAAAGACCTTCCGCCGAAACCGGTTTGGTTCAATGGATAGAGCGTCGGCTTGGGGACTGAGAGGTCCCAGGTTCGATTCCGGTCAAGGGCATGTACCTTGGTTGCGGGCATATCCCCAGTAGAGGGTGTGCAAGAGGCAGCTGATCGATGACTCTCTCTCATCGATGTTTCTAGCTCTCTATCTCTCTCCCTTCCTCTCTGTACAAAATCAATAAAAATATATTAAAAAAAAAAGAAAGGTAAAAGACCTTCAAATTTAGTAATCTTTAAGATAAGTGGGATTTATTTACTTTTTTATTTTGTTTTTGGATATAGTAAAAAAAAAAAAAAAGTCAAGTTAAGTGTTTGTTAAATACAGCACTCTAGAAGAAAGTACCCTGTTGCTGTTATTTTAAAAGTGTTCCTACCAAGTGAAATTGGAGAAGTACCTGGTTTTGAGTTCTGCTTTGGGAATTGTATGGCTGAGTGCTGTATGTAGACCACCAGTATGTGGAAACTGGCTGTACGCGAATTCATTCATTCATTTGGGCAATGCTGACAGAATACCTTCTGTCTGCAAGCCTCTGTCAGTGATGCTGCTGTTATCCAGTACTAGAACAGATGTGGGGACAGAGGCAAGTAATAAACTGAGTAATCTGACAATTAACTTGTGGATGGCAGTAGATATCTGAAGGAAATAGATACATGGTTTGCCTGGAACATAGTGAGGCATAGGCCTAGGCATTCCCAGCTCTGAGCCCACAAAGTGACCTTCCATTATCTTTCAGGTAGACGGGGAAGGCTTTGAGAGCACTTTGGATGCTTCATCGTTGGACTTCAAAGTACCTTCGGTAAGTGACCATCTGTTTCTGCATGATTGGAAACTTGACATGAATGATTGGCGTTCCATATTTGGGAAAGATGTGTAGGTGTATGTACAGATGATTCATTGAGGATTAATATTGACTGGGTGCTAAGGATAAGAGGTCTGAGAGCCAAACTGATCAGTTTCAGGGTTTGCAGTCTAGTTGGGGCAGGGTTAATAACCAACAAAGAATGTAACTGGGAGAGAAGTTTGAGTAGTTGGCCAATCTAGAAGGCTACCTGGAGAAAGTCCTGTTTGAATTAAAGTCTGACATTGGTCAGGAGTTAGCCCAGTAAAGAAGAAAAGAAAACTTTGGGGTAGAAGGGAACATGGCTTATTGCAGGAATGGAGTACACTGGGTAAGGGTCGAGGGGCGGAGTGGGGCTGCAAAAGCAGGTGTGCCTGACTGCCAGAGTCTTTGGGTGGGGAAAGGATTTGGCAGATGTTCTTGTTTTCAGTGGGAAGTCAGGGAAAGGTTTTAACAGGTTCCAGTTGTAAATAATAGTTTATGTTGGGAGAAACACACTTTTTTCTCCAGTCTGATTTGATCTATAAAGCAGTGGCCATCTGTGTAACTTCTGCCTTGACTGTGGGAGTCTGCCAGCTGCAGAGGCCATTAGATCAGCTTAAACTTGGGTTGGGATGGCCAGACTCTGAGTGGAGAATTGAACAGGCTAAATATTACCGCTGCCTTTCTGCTTTTGCTGGGGGAAATGGCAAAGTGATTGTATAACGGAATGCATTCTTTTGAGTGGATCTGCCCAGTTTTTAAGTGCCTTATGGCTTTTCTATCTCTTCTTATTTATTTATTTATTATTTATGTCTAAAGTTTTATATATGTCTCCTTTGCCCTGCTTGACACCCTCCTCCCCCTCAGCCATTTCCACCCTGGGCAAGACCCCACCGCCCCAGTGTCTGTGTCTGTAGGTTATGCTAATATGCATGCATACATGTCCTTTGGTTGCTCTCTACCCCCCCATTCCCCATCCCCCTCCATTTGTCTCTGGATCTATTCTTGTTCATAAAATTCTGTTGGTCATTATTTTCTCTTTTCTTTTTTATTTAGGATATTGAAGAACCACTCTTGGAGCCAGGTACTGATAAGAGAAACAAAACAGTTATGGTTTGAAAGTTTTTCTCACTGTTCTTTTAAACTGTCTATATATTTTATGCTGTATTATGGTCTTGTAAATGATTTTAATGGTGGACAATCCAGATCGTACAAGGATCAGAGATTGGAAACCCATTCATATCACCAGATCTGTGGAACTGCGGCTCTGGTTTCTAGAGGTCAGATGTATGTGGTGAGATGTAGTGGTTACGTTCATCTCTCCAACTACATAGAATGGCATTTACATAATTTCTCCTTCCGATTCTTCCATGTGTTTCTACACATGAAATAGATCTTGTGATATTTCTCTGCAGTCAATTTGATTAATGCAGTTAAGGCAGGATAAAGCAATTGTCAGGGAACTTATAATCTGAGAAGTGACTGGATTCCAGAAGAGGAAACAGAGTTTCTTCATGAAAATTTCCAGCATGTTATTTCCCTTCTGGACTGCGTATATCTCTCGCCATCTGAAGAGTTTCTGGTGTTCCTGTTGGACTGTTCTGTTAAAAGAAATTCAAAGAAATTTGGAAATTGAGCTGTCATTGAATGATGACTGCATTCGGTTCAGCACCTTGGACATTGGAAAAATAAGTCAGAAGACCCAGACTTGAACCAAACATGAAGAAGACTGTTGAGAAGCAGCCAAGTGGTTGTAGGTGTTTAAATTGGTGGGGGCCTGTTCATGTAGCGTAGCGGCTTACTGTAGCAGTCGGTTGGCGTGCAGGTAGTGTAACCAGTGTAACGTGTGTACTCGCGGGTTTTCCAATCTCTGTGTAGCTAGCAGTTCTCTTCGTGTTAGTGTGGCAGCCGCACCAGTTCCACATTTGTGATTGCTTTATTTCCCTGGTAATTAAACCTTGTGCCATTCTATTCCTGTTAAATCCGTAGAAAATGAGAAAATACTCGACATTTTGGGGGAAACTTGTAAATCTGAGCCAGTAAAAGAAGAAGGTTCCGAGCTGGAGCAGCCATTTGCACAGGATACAAGTAGCGTGGGGCCAGACAGAAAGCTTGCGGAGGAAGAGGACCTTTTTGGCAGCGGCCACCCGGAGGAGGGTGACTTAGATTTGGCCAGCGAGTCAACAGCACAAGCTCAGTGGAGCGAGGCAGACACCCTGTTAGCGGTAGTGAAAAGGGAGCCCGTGGAGCAGACAGGCGATGACGAGAGGATGGACTGTGAGCCTGTAGGGCTAGAGGAGCCAGTTGAGCAGAGTAGTAAAGCCTCAGAGCGCACAGAAGCCTCTAGCGAGGAGGTGGCAGAAGCGCCCCAGGAAGCCTCAAGCCCAGACCCCAGGGATAGCAAAGAAGACGTGAAGAAGTTTGCTTTTGAAGCTTGTAATGAAGTCCCTCCGGCTCCTAAAGAGTCCTCAGCCAGTGAGGGCGCTGATCAGAAAATGAGGTTTGTTTTTTTCTCAGTTTTAGACCAGATGCTATCTCCTTTTCATTGGTCGTTTAATGACACACATAAGCTGTTTTTTCTACATTTGGCCAGTTAGACTGACGAAATTGTAATTTACCTCTAAAGAATGTTTTATTTCTCTTTGTGTATTTTTAGTGGCTGATTTGATTTCTTCTTTTCTCAACCGACTATGGTTGTGTTCTTAAATTGCTAAATGTTCTCTTCAGTTAAGTCAAATTGATTTAAGAATCTGATATTGTATTTTGGGGGGTCAAATATCCAATATAAACTTGCAAAGGTGTCTTGTTAAAATTTTACTTCAGACTGATTTTCTGGTAGGTATTCAATTTTAGCACACATTATATTTTTAATTTAGTTCTCTTTTGCTTTTTTTCCTGCATGGTTAACATTAACTTTTGTCTCTAGTTCTTTTAAGGAAGAAAAAGATATAAAGCCAGTCATTAAAGAAGAAAAAGGTATGATTTACGTGGTGGGGAACCACCTATGGATCCCTTGGTGTAGGAGGGAGGGGCCTGAAAATTGCCACATTCTGGAATTTATAGTGAATCCTGTCACAATCCTATTTTCCATTGAATAATGTAAGAAGGGTTATAGAAACTGCTATCTTTTTTTTTTTTTTTTTTTAATATATCTTATTGATTCTTCTACAGAGAGGAAGAGAGAGAGATAGAGAGCTAGAAACGTCGATGAGAGAGAAACATGGACCAGCTACCTCTTGCACGCCCCCTACTGGGGATGTGCCCGCAACCAATGTACATGCCCTTGACCGGAATCGAACCCGGGACCCTTCAGTACGCAGACCGACACTCTACCACTGAGCCAAACCGGTTTCGGCGAAACTGCTATCTTGGTTGAGATCTGATCATTGAAAGACATTTCAGTTTTTAATAACCTAGACAAGATTACTCCTCAAGTAAGAAAACTCTTGTTTTTCCCGTCCAAATTTTCATCTCTGTCCTATGTGTTGACAGTAATTAAACTCTTGAATTAAAAGAGTTGAAATTGAAAAGAAAAAAGAAGCATTGAAATTGAATGTGGTTAGGGTTTAAGATAGAGCCACATTTCAAGAGTGGTCATGGTTACTGTTATTCCTGGTGGCAAAGCATAATCTCTCTCTGCTTCAGGTCATGTCAGCAGCAGTTCTGGTAGGAATTTGTGGGTCAGTGGACTGTCCTCCACAACTCGAGCAACAGATCTGAAGAACCTTTTCAGCAAGTATGGAAAGGTATGCTCTCCCTTATGTCTGTCTTGCTACGCAGCCTCAATTTAGCATTAAAAAACAAACTCAATAAAAATATATTTTAAAAAAGTGTGTGTGTGTGTGTGTGTGTGTGTATATATATATATATATATATATATATATATATATATATTCTCTCTCAAGCCCTGTTGGTGTGGCTCAGTGATTGTTGACCTATGAACCAGGAGGTCACAGTTCAATTCTTGGTCAGGGCACCTGCCTAGGTTGCAGGCTCAAACCCCAGTAGGGAGCCTGAAAGAGGTAGTCCATCAGTGATTCTTATCATTGATGTTTCTATCTCTTCCTTCCTCTCTGAAATCAATCCTATAAAATAAAAGGCTAATATGCAAATTGATTGAATGGCAAAACGGCTGGTTGCTATGATGCATATGACCACCAGGGACAGCCACTCAATGTAGGAGCTGCCCCCTGGTGGTCAGTGCGCTCCCATGGGGGGTGGAAGTGTGTGGCAACAGCTCAGCCAGAACCCTGGCTCATCGCTGGTGAGCTAGGAGGTGGTGGGAGCCTCCTCCACCTCCACAGCAGCGCTAAGGATGTCTGACTGCCAGCTTAGGCCCGCTCCCCGCTGTGCATGAATTTCGTGCACCAGGCCTCTAGTAAAAATATATACTCGAGTTTAAAACCCTACTTCATGCTAATTTTATTGTTGGTCATTTCTAATTTAAGAAAAGGCTGGAGGAGGAAATCCTCAATGAGGAAAACCTACCTTGTTTTTGGTTAGTGTGCCTTTATTTCTGTTTAAGAGTGGTTAACAGACAAACTAGATAAACATGATGTAGAACACTATGCAGGAAACTTGTGTAAATAGATAGAATCTGAAGTTCTTGTGGTTCTTTCTAACTTCTCTTCAAGAAACTGCTATAATCTTTTGGCTTATACAAAATTTAAAGCTGGCATGCTGAGGGGTTTTTTCTTAGCAGTAAGTTAAGTGTTGGCTTTTATATCTTACTAGAGGCCCAATGCACATAATTTATGCCCTCAAACGGGGGTGGGGGGTATCCCCAAGCCTGGCCTGTGCCCTGTTACAGTGCGGGAGCCCCATGATTGATTTCCCCAAGGAGGTAGGCCAGAGCCAGGGCCCCGCCCCCGTGCTGGGCAGAGCCAGGAGGCTGGACTCACAGGCAGGCTCTGTGGTATGCACATAGTGTCAAGCCCCGCCCCACCCCGCCCACCTGCGCATGCCCTCTGTGAGCATAGCCATCATCTGATGGCCTGAGGGCATCACAGCTTGAGGACCACTTAGCCTTTTATTAGTAAGAATAGCATCTTAAGTATATACTTTAAAAATAGAATGTGATAGTGGTTTACAAATAAATCACCTAATATGCTGATATTGGGAGCAGGCAGAAAATAATACAGTTCTAAAACTTTCTAAGGAACTTAAAGGACTTTTAAAGTGAAAATTATTCTGTTACTTTGGAATTAGGTGATGAAGCAATCCTTTTATAAGCCATAGAGACTGCCCTGGTCTCCAGGTGCCTGTGGGAAGTGGCCCTCTGAGGGGGAGGTAGGGGACAGTGCTTCAAGGAGTTGAGAACTTGCGGGGATTCTAGGCAGAGTTTCTGAGGCTGACTCATCCTGGCTACTCAGTCATATCTTTGCTCAGATCCATGTCACCCAAGTAGGTATTGGTGAATACATTAGTGATTTAGGCAGTATGGACCCAGAAGAAGCATTCAAAAGGGCTTGAAAACTATTAAGCCGTAACCTCACTTATTTTGTTGACCTCTTTCTGAACTCAGGTACTGATTATAAAGCCTAAGCAAACATATAAGGTCCCTGTCATAGATCTTACAGACTGGTGGGAAAATCATTTACAGAATAAACACATACAACACATTGAATAAATATGTTAAGGAAAATTACAGCATGCAATCATATGGTACGAGATCTAATTTAGATTTGGGTGGTTGGTTCAGCAAAGCTTGCCGAGGAAGCCACATTTAGGGCAAGAGCTGAATGATTGGAGTTCAGCATGCCTGTGGAACTCGGCTCTGGGTAAAGGAAGGCCCAGTGGTGGGACAAGGCTTTATAATTTGGATGAACTCATCAAAGGCTACTGTGCAAAGCTACAGGGCAGAGTGCAAGGGGAAGGAGTGGGGAGACAGCTTCTCATGGTACCTGCCCTTATTTGGATTTAACTGTCATTGGAAATGATGCCCTGGCAAGGATTATTAGTTTGATGGAAAGATCAAATGACCCCATAATTGGCTCAGCCCCTTGAGCTTCAGGAGAAGTAAGAATGCAAAGCTGCTCTGCTCTGAGGACCAGCACTGTGTCTTCAGCAGAGGCTTTCACCTTTGTCCCAGGATCCTTCAGTGTGCGGGCCCGTGCTCTGTCCACTGAGCCAAACCAGCTAAGGCTAACCCAATCATTTTTTATTGTGTACCAGGCATTGTGACTTTTACCTTGTGAGCTTGTTATTCTTATATCCCTGCAAATGTCCCTGAGCTTTTGCTGGGGCACAGTTCATTCATTTGCTCGATCAGTGCAGAGGCCTGCTGTTAAGTTTGTTAATCAGGCCAAAGCTCAGGGCTAGCTTCATACACTCCTGGGCAACATCCTTCTGAGCACTCAGCCCAATGCCATGAATTACAGGCTTTTCTGTCCAGCCATTGGGTTCATTCTGAGGGAAGTGGGCCTTGCAGCACGAGCGAGCCCCGGGGATTGTTTCCTCTGCTTCTTAGGTGGTCATCTCCCCAGTCTTAGTGGTTTTCTCACACATATGCGCCACTCAGGAGGACACTGAAATTCTCTGCAGCTGTCTTGCGTGTCTCTCCGTGTGGTACTGTGATTGGTCACTGCTTTTATCTCCTCAGATTCTGACCTGTGCTCATTTCAGGGATACCAGCCCCCTCAGTGCCTCCTCCCTGCCCAGGGCCTGAAACATCTAGGCAGTAAGAATGGGCAACCATAAGGCTGCCTCATGTGTTTCCACTCTTGCAGAGGTCTCCATCCTGTGTAGACTGGTGTGTGGTGTCTGAAAGCCCTTGTTGCCTACATTTCCTACCGTTTTTTAGTTTCAGGTAGCAGGAGAGCTAATGGCTGGCTCTCTGTGCTGGCTGTAAGTGGAAGTTTCTCTGACCTATGTCAGAGGTCTTCCTAGCCTTGGTTCACATAGATCGGGGTGCATTTCTGAGTAGATATTCCCTCAGCTGTCCATGGATAGAATGGAATTAGAGAAAATGATCTGAATGGGAAGGGCTTTTGATTGATTAAAAAGTTTCCATTAGTGTAGTTCAACTCTTTTTAGCTCTCCCTGTTTGCTTTTTGTCACTGTAGAGCTGATCTCGTATCAAAAGCACTTGTATTTTGATAGGTCAATTATTTTTAATAACTAGGAAGAACTGACAAATCCTGGAGAAGTAAAAACTAGTATAAATGATTTTTGGGGGGTTACTTATGCATATTATTTAGCTGTGGTCATGGGGATTATCCCGATTTTCCATAAAATCCTCTTGACCCTGCTGCAGTATCATGGCATAAAAGACTCAAAGTGCCACTAGACAAAAGGACAAAGGGTTTTTTTTTTTTTTAAATATATTTTATTGATTTTGTACAGAGAGGAAGGGAGAGAGATAGAGAGCTAGAAACATCGATGAGAGAGAGTCATCGACCAGCTGCCTCTTGCACACCCCCTACTGGGGAAATGCCCGCAACCAAGGTACATGCCCTTGACCGGAATCGAACCCGGGACCTTTCAGTCCCCAAGCCGACGCTCTATCCATTGAGCCAAACCGGTCTCGGCTGTTTTCTTATTATTAACCATGGTTTTGGATAATGTTTGGGAACTTTTTATGTTGATGGCCAGATGAAAGATACCAAATGTCTAATGGAAATGATTTTGATGATCAGTTAACTGCTAGTAATTTTTTACATTGGGTGATTATTTGTATGAGAATATAAGAGTGTCCTTTCCCACGAAGGTTGTCAGTGCCAAAGTGGTGACCAATGCCCGCAGTCCTGGGGCTCGGTGCTACGGCTTTGTCACCATGTCTATATCTGATGAGGCTACGAAATGTATCAGCCACCTCCACAGAACTGAGCTTCATGGAAGAATGATCTCTGTAGAGAAGGTAAGGCAGTCCTTGCCTGTTCTATCGTAACTCATGAACTTTACATGGGGGAAGACCTAGTCCATGAGCCATTTCTATCTGCATTATATTTTTAGGCCAAAAACGAACCTGCTGGGAAAAAGCTGTCCGACAGAAAGGAGTATGAAGTGAAGAAGGAAAAAGTATCTAGTGTTGACAGACATCATCCTGTGGAGATCAAAGTTGAAAAGTAAAGTAATTTTTAAAAAATATTTTTTATTGATATCAGCAGGGGAGAGGGAGATAGAAACATCAATGGTGAGAGAGAATCATTGATTGGCTGCCTCCTGCATGCCTCCTCCTGGGATTGAGCCTGTAACCTGGGCATGTGCCCTTGACTGGAATTGAACCCGCAGGCCGATGTTCTATGCACTGAGCCAAACCGGTTTCAGCTAAAGTAATTTTTTAAACGCATTCTCTTGGGATGATGGCTGGAAGGAGGGAGGTGGCAGCCCCAGGGTCGCTCAGGAAATAAGCACGTGTCCTTTGCATAAACAGCCTCACCAGCTTCTCATTTACATCACAGGTGATTTCTGCATCTTGCTGCTACTTCAGTGTTTAGCTTTCAACAGATTTTCATTTCATAATGCTAAAAAAAAAAGATTCAGATGATCCTTAATAAGTATGTACATCTAAATAACCTAGTAGCCTGTTGGAAAAAAACACACACAAAATAAATAACATTTTTTTATTAAATATATTTTATTGATTTCAGAGGGAAAGGGAGACAGAGATAGAAATATCAGTGATGAGAGAGAATCATTAATCGGCTGCCTCTTGCATGTCCCTTACTGGGAATCAAGCCCAAAACCTAGGCATGTGCCCTTAACCAGAATCAAACTTGAGTCCGCAGGCCAATGCTCTATGCACTGAGCCAAACCAGCTAGGGCAGGCACCATTTATTTTTTATACCAAACATCCTGAGCCCTTGCACAGCCTCTGAAAACTTGGAATCATTTCACAGTCCAGGTTGATTTTCATGTGAATCATGCTTTTTATCCCAGCAACTGCAAAAACCCAGCTTTGCAAAGATAACATCATTATTCAAAGGAATGTACGCTGATTGAATATTGAAATGAGCCGCCTGAAACTAATATTTTGTGCAGCACCTGGCAATTGTCAAGTATTTTTGTGTTTCCCTCAAAAACTTGAAATATCCCAGAGTACGTTAGTTCACTGAGATACCTTGGGGATTCCTTGGCATAGTAATTTGGGGGTCTATTTTTATAAATAGATACTATTTATTTAAAGGAGGTGATTTGTAGCTTTAATGAAGATGGAAATAGGGACAGATCTTTCACAGCAGGCATTGATTTTACTTTTATCAAAACAATATGCTTGCCTTAGCTGGTTTGGCTCAGTGGATAGAGCATCAGCCTGTGCACTGAAGGTTCCCAGGTTTGATTCCAGCCAAGGGCTCATGCCCAGGTTGTGGACTCGATCCCCAGTAGGGGGCGTGCAGAGGCAGCTGATCAATGATTCTCTTTCATCATTGATGTTTCTATCTCTCCCTCTCCTTTTCTCTCTGAAATCAATAAAAATATCAAAACAAAAGCTATAGGCTTATCATTTGGGTAGGTAGAATTTGGTGATGTGCTTGATAACTGTTATTCTCAGAACACTGTGTGTCTGTGTTACACTTATATTGTCAACACAATTTATTTCCACTTCCAGGTCCATTTGTATTCTAAAAATTAAACCCTTTGCTAAGAATCTATAAATTTCACAGTAATTTCATTTTGCTGTTTTTTTTACATAAGAAAATTGATAGTTGAGTAAACATGACTATGGACATCAATACTTATAAGTTGGGCTTAGTTTTTAACAGTAGAATTGTTGGTCTTCAATGTGACCAAGTTAGAAATTGTAGGGCCATGAGAAATGGCTATTAGATGAGCCTTCATGTACTTAGAAGTAAGACCCATGATTTTATCAGCAACTTTTTTAAAAAATATATATTTTATTGATTTTTTACAGAGAGGAAGGGAGAGGGATAGAGAGTTAGAAACATTGATGAGAGAAAAACACCGATCAGCTGGCTCCCGCACACCCCCCACTGGGGATGTGCCCACAACCAAGGTACATGCCCTTGAATGGAATCGAACCTGGGACCCTTGAGCCACACCACTGAGCCACACCAGCCAGGGCTATCAGCAACTTCTTATTTAAAGGACACATCTATTAGCAGTGCTAAAAATATCTGTATTGTTAGAATATGGGGAGCTGTTGAGAGTTGTTGGTTTTCTTAGTATCTTGAGATGCTTTTCGTTGGTTGATTTTTTTGAATCACAGAAGTGAGATGTGTTTATGGCAAAAAGAAAGGGGATAATATTCAGCTAATGTGTGTGGGTACAGGGTGGTCCCTGAGTCTCTGGAGAGTCTTGTGAGGTCTGTACTCTGTGTAGAAAGAAGAGGAAACTGGCCCAGAAAGGGGACCCAAGGTCACACAGCTCAGCTGGCAAGCAACAAGGTCAGAATTTAGTCCTGAGCTGTTGCCTTCAGTCCTAGGGCACTTAACTGGGTGATGAGCTTAAGTGATTAAAACCAAACTGCCTACGTGATTTGCCTAGCAGGTTGAATATTTCAAAATTTGTTTTTAACCTTATTTATTTCATACAAATAAACACTTTTATTAATCTTTCCTTTTATATTAGGAATTTCTAGGCTTAGTCGTCAGCCTAAGTGAAATGGAGAAGCTTGTCCATACAGGTGGCTTGTCTTGGTTGTTATGGATTAGTAGTGATGTTTCTATAATTGTCGTTTAGAAAGCACACACTGAAGTCAGGCAAAATATCACTACCTGGTTGAACACTTTTTGGTATATGTCCTTCCAGCCTTTTTTCCTACGGGCAGGTGTTTTCTTTATTGGTTTTCTTGTGTAGGTACTTTTTTTTTAAAAAAAAAAATTACTTTTAAGTGTTATCAACAAGTCCTTTGTGTGTAGGAGGTGCCATGTGAGTACAGTACAAGTAGGGAGAGGTCTTCTGTAGAAACATTATTCAGGTCTCCTTGGACGGAGGAGGCACCACTGCAGAATAGTGGAAGAGGTACATCAGAGAGATTCATGGTGGCTTTATTTGCAGTCATTTGGCCACTGGAACCAATCTCTAGTCTATCATAAGGGAAATGGAAATAGCTGTGCACTGTTGGGTAGCAGCTGAAAGGAACCAGATCTGTGTATGAATCCACACAGACTAACCTTTTAAAAATACTTTTTTATTTTTTATTTTATTTTTTTAAAAATTTTAATTAATATATTTTATTGAGTTTTTACAGAGGAAGAGAGAGGAAGAAAGCTAGAAACATCGATGAGAGAGGAATATCGATCAGCTGCCTCTTGCACACTCCCTACTGGGGATGTGCCTGTAACCAAGGTACATGCCCTTGACTGGAGTGGAACGCTCTATCCAATGAGCCAAACCGGTTTCGGCTTTATTTATTTATTTATTTATTTATTTTCAGAGAAGCAGGGAGAGGGAGACATTGAAACATCAATGATGAGCAAGAACCATTCATCAGCTGCCTCCTGCCATGTTCCCTGACTGTGAATTCTGGTTCGTAGGTCAGTACTCAAGCACTGAGCCACACCGCCTGGGCCAGACTAACCTTTCAAGCAGTTATTTTTCAACCGGTATGCTATAAGAATGTTTAAAACATGTAATACTTGACTACTTAGTCAAGGATACTGACCTCTTTTCCCTTAGATTGTCAAAATAAAAAATGACAACAGCCAACTAACTCACCAATAGCCTTCTGATGTGAATGAATGAAAATCATACCTTTTTTTTTTTTTTTTTTCCTCTTTGTCACATTGGTAAAAAATATATTTTTTGGTGTGCGGCAGCATTTTATAGTGATTAGTTTGTGTGAGCCATGAGCTGAAAATTGCTGCTTTAAAGCATGAGGTGAAAAGTGCTAAAGAGCAGCATATCAAGGCCCATCCCACTTTGTTAGTCTCCAGAAATGTAAAACATTCCTGAAGATCTTTATGGTTATGTGCAAGTACCCATAAAGGTTCAAGAGGTGAGCCAAATGATTGACAGTTATGGCAACATGGGTGGTGATGGGACAAGTGTATCTGTGACATTCACCGCATCTACAGTATTACTATATTGTAAGGGAATCCTGCCCTGGTTGGTTTTTTTCTCATCTGCCTGGGGACCAAAGGGTCAAGTGTTTGATTCCAGGTAAAAGGGCACATACGTTAGTTGGAGGTTCCCCAGCCCTGGTAAGGGCATGTGCGGGAGGCAACCAATTGATGTATCTCTCTCACATCGATGTTTCTCCACCTCCTCTCTCCCTATGCACAAGAAGTCGCTGGTTCAATTCCCCTTCAGGGCGCATGCGTGGGTTTTGTACTTAATCTTTAGCAGGGGGCGTCAGGAGTCACCGGATCAATATTTTCCTCTCATCAATGTTTCTATCTCTCCCTCTCCCTTTCTCTCTCTCTAAAAAACAGAACTGACTTTGGTTGAAATGATAGTTTCCATATTGGCTGACATATAATAGCATTTTATTTTATTTTTAAATATGTTTTTTATTTCAGAGAAGAAGGGAAAGATAGAAACATCAATGATGAGTGAGAATTATTGATCGGCTGAGCCCACAACCTGGGCTGGGAATCAAACTGTGACCTAGTTCATAGGGCAACGCTCAACCACTGAACCACGCTTGCTGGGCTAATAGCATTTTAACTCCTCCAAGTATGCAGATATTGCCAGGTACAAGTGTTAGTGGGCAGGTGGCTCACTGCTTCATGTTGTAGGAACGTCTGTTCCTGGTACTGTACCTCCATTCTATATCATACTATATCTATTTGGGGGAATTTTTTTCCAACAAAACTTAATATTCCACATATACAAAATGTTTCAAAATGAGACATTTGAAAATAGTTTTTCACAAGCATTCTTCCATCATGTATAGTTGCATAGATGTCATATATGTAAGTGCTTCTAACATCTTGGGAAAACATCCCCATGAGCTTGCAGTTTTCTCCTGCATATTTTGAGATGTGAAAGATAACTTAAGTGGGAATAGGGGCTGTGTCTGAAGAGGGGAATATTATCAGTTTTCAAATAATTCTCCCCATCCACTTGCTGCTGGCCTGGTTGGTTTTGTGCATCAATCTGTGCGAGCAAACTGCTCCTATTAGAGACTCAGGAACTCAAGTTTGATAACCATGTTTTTCATAGAACTGTAATTAAGAAGGAAGAGAAGATGGAGAAAAAGGAGGGGAAAAGGCCTGAAGACATTATAAAGGAAGAAAAAGATGAAGATGAGCTAAAACCAGGAACGACAAATCGGTCCAGAGTCACCAAATCAGGTGATTAGAGGCTAAGGTTCTTGAGGGGGGAAGAGCGGTCACAATGGGCTGGTGGGTGTCATAGTAGATCAAGTAAGTACAGCGAGCTTTTTAGTGACTTTGCTTAGTTTTGCTGCTTATAAAAAGCCATTAAAGCAACAGAGCCTCAGGCTTACAGGAGTTTCTACACAACAGCAGAATGCAGAGATGTTCTGGTCAGTGATTTAGCTTTACTGGCAGCTCAGTGACCTGGGTTCTTATTTTTCCTGAGTCTTTTAACAGAAAAAAGTAAGGGTTTGCCAAGGGGGTGTCCTAGTTCTTATAACTAATTCAGTACAACTCTATACGTGTGTAATCTTACTTTTCTTGCCTGTATGGTGAAGCCAGATCAAATGAGAAACAGAAAATGAAAATCTCATGTCTATAGACTGTGGAGGAGCAGTTGCACTTATAGTGTGCCACCTCTGTTGTCATTTTATAAAAATTGCTTGCATTCTGCATCTTCAGACTTGCATGAAGCTCTACAGAATGTTTTGTGGCAAAAAACAACAACAACAACAACAACATACTCACACACAAAAAAAAAACAAACCCATCCCCTCCCCTTCTCAAAAAAGAAAACCAGAAACAAAACCTGACCATCTGGAGCACTGGGATTTGGTGCAGTGAGATCTTAATCATTGGGGTAATTTGCCAGCAGTCTCATGAGGAACGTGTTTTTAAAATGCTCCTGGAGTATTGCAAATTTCCCTAAATCCATGGTTGTTCTGGCAGTTAGAGCCTGCTTAGCTTGTTGTGAAGAGGAAGAATTGGTGTAGAACCTTTATTGCTGAAGACGATGAAGGGAAGCCCACTCGTGGGGGTAGGGAGGGGCTCCCTCGGAGCCAGCAGTATCTAATTCAGGCACAAGAGCCTGGGTTATGCAGAGCATTCCACAATGTGTGGTAGGAATAAATATTGAAATTGGTTATCCTGGAGCCACTAGGATTGAGTATGAGGGGAAAGGAAACAAGCCTACAGGTGGGATGTGTTTGTGTACATGTTGCAGAATGCACTTTGACTCAGCTTTAAGTTGTAAGATGCAGACAAGTCCGTTCTAGATGAGCAAACACGTGTTTGGGTTTGGCAACTGGTTTTCGCCCAGTGTAGTTTTATTGGTAGTGCTTCTTTTTCATAATCCTCGCTAGAGGATACTCTTTCCTTTGGTTTTAGAGTGAGTGGAAGGAAGAGAAAGACAGAGAGAAACATCAACTTTGATATCATCATGAAGACAGGGACAGGACACAAAGGCTTTAGCATTAGCATTAGTCACTTGACAGCTGGGGGGCAGGGGCGGCAAGAGCCCCCAGCTGGCTTGTGTACATCAGCACATTTTCACAGATTGCTGTGTTTTTTCCTGAAGGAAGCAGAGGAATGGAACGGATGGTAGTAATGGATAAATCAAAAGGAGAGCCTGTCATTAGTGTGAAAACCACAAGCAGGTCAAAAGAAAGAGTGAGTATTGCTTCTGCCATCTCAAGGCCAGTCATTTTTTATTTGCATTTATGAAAACAACATTATTCTGCCTTAAAATTTTAAGAGTCTTTGAAGTCCTTGAGAGGCATATTGTTAACTCTTTTGATTATGCATAGAAACATTAAATTAGATTCTCAAACTTACTTCAGAACAGTGCTTACCCGTGTTTGCTTTCCAGAAATGTGTTTGCCCTTTTCTGATTCTTTGTCAGGTTATGCCATCTTTTAGGACAGTGGTCCGCAAACTCATTAGTCAACAGAGCCAAATATCAACTGTACAATGATTGAAATTTCTTTTGAGAGCCAGATTTTTTAAACTTAAACTTCTAACGCCAATTCTTCAAAAGACTCACCCATGCTGTGGTATTTTGTGGAAGAGCCACTCTCAAGGGGCCAAAGACCCGCATGTGGCTCGTGAGCCGTAGTTTGCCAATCATGGTTCTAGGAGAATTGATTGCCAATGACAGAGCTGGAAGGACAACACCCAGGCTTTCCAAATCAGAGGCAGCTTCTACTCTTTTGGCTAATCTAATAGCAGTTCATTCTTTTTCTTTATTGATTTTCTATTAAATTAACCAAAAAGAAAAATGGAGTCCACTCTAAAACTGACTGTCATGTCATCAAACAACAAGTTACATTGCTTATTAACTTAAGCACATAGGTGGACAAGCTAGCGACCTCTCATTTTATCTGTTTCCCAGATAAAGATTCTAGCTAATATGTTAATGAGGAGAGCAACACTCTTTCAGTGAATACACTTTTTATGATTCACCCAAGAATACTTTGTGTTTTTAAGACTTAAGTTTTAAATTAACATTTAAATTTCATAGAGAGCAGTTCCTAATGCCATTTTTTCTATGGGCTACATGGAAATCATAAAATACAGAGAAATAAATAAAAAAGACCCATAAACTTACTACTCAGATAACTGATGTTAAAAAAAAATGTAGTAGTGATGTAAATGTGATTAAAGCATTCAGATATTATAAGAAGGCACAATGGAAGCCTCTTTTCTGCCTGGGCTCCTCACACTTCTTTTTAAAAAAATATATTTTATTGATTTGTTACAGAGAGGAAGAGAGAGGGATAGAGAGTTAGAAACATCGATGAGAGAGAGACATATCGATCAGCTGCCTCTTGCACACCCACTACTGGGAATGTGCCCGCAACCAGGGTACATGCCCTTGACTGGAATCGAACCTGGGACCTTTCAGTCCATAGGCCGATGCTCTTTCCACTGAGCCAAACCGGTTTTGGCACACACAACAAACACACTGAAACACCACCACGAATAGGTTCAGATGACTTGCTCTTGGACACCTTTTGTGCATAACATACTGAGATATACAGTGCTACTTTCTAATTTAATTTTAAAATTATTGTAGATTCACAGGGAGCTGTAAAGAATAGGACAGAGGTCCTATGTGTCCATCACCCAGTTTTGCCCAGTGGTATTATTTCCTGTAACTGTAGCACAATATCAAAGCCAGCAAGGTGATGTCGACGTACAGTGTGTGTGCAGTGCTAAGACATTTAATTGCTAGTGTAGATGTCCTGCTATTGAAAACTGCTGTGGACAGCCTTCCTATGTCTGCCTCTTGGCAGACTTGCAACCACCTGTCAGTGGGATTGCTAGTCCAAAGGTGGATGTGTGTTGTTCTTTGTGGTGAATGTTATCAGATGCCCTTCAGAAAGTTACAGAGGATGCTGCCATTCCTGGGGTGCGGAGCCATGTTATGACCATGAGTACAATTTGAGGACTGCAGTGCCTGCTGGTCTCTGCACTAGATCATATCCTTCCCCCAGAACCTAGGGTGGCTGTCCCTCCTCATTCCCACCTGCAGAGTGTGTGATAACTCTTTAAGCTCTGCCCGTCTCATAGGTGAATGATGTTTTGGGGATGCATCTGTCTTCTATTTGAATGTCCCTCTCTATTCCCCCCAGCCCCCACAGTCTTTTTTTAGTAGAAGAGCTGGTTCTAATCTTTGCCCATCTTCTTTCCAGGTAGCTTTGTCTTCATTGATTTTTTTTTAAACCCCTTGTGTGGGCTAATTAAGAAATTAAGCTGAACAGCATTCTCCTTTAAGATTTTTAATTGATTTTTAGAGGAAGAGGAAGGGAAAGAGGGACAGAGAGAGAGACACATCTATGTGAGAACAAAACATTAATCAGCTGCCTCCTGCATGCTGCCACCAGAGATTGAATCTGCAGCTCAGGTATGTGCTCTGACCAGGAATTGAACCAGCGCAACCTTTTAGTGTACAAGATGACACTCTTAACCAACTGAGCCACACCGACCAGGGCAGAGGAGCTTTTTAAAAATGTGGTGTCCCAGACCCTGTCCTATGTAGGAGGCCCTGGGTTCTGGGATATGTGAAAGCTTCCTAGGAGAGTCTGATTGGTGGCCAGTCTTGGGTGTCTCAGCCTCTGAGAGCCTTAAAGATGTTAGTTGTCCATCATTGTTTTCTACCTTATGCCAGAAACAGAATAGGCAAGTCACCCATTAATCTTTTCTACATTATTGGGAGTGAACTTTACAGTACAGTACCTTGGATTATTATGTTTTAATGCTGCCTGCTTGAGCCCTGACTTCGCACTTGAGAAGTGAAAGATGTAGTCCTTCATCTTACTGTCCAAACAGCTGGCCCTACAGCTGCCACCCCCCCCCCCCCCCCCCCCCGCCAGTGAATGAAGGAGCCATGTGGCTCTGCTACACTAGAAAAACTGCCTGTAGGTTTCCTGAGGTTTCATCCCATCTTTTCTCTTCCCTTAATATCCTTTGCTTACAAGGTTTAAAAGTCAGACTAGAGGGCCCTAGCCCGGTAGGCCAGTTAGAGCATCGTCCCGACACACCAAGCTGGTGGGTTTGAACCCCGGTCAGGGCACATACAAGAATCAACAGGTGAGTACGTAGATAAGTGGAACAACAAATTGATCTCCCTCCCTCCCTCCTTCCTCGCACTTCTCTAAAAGCAATTTAAAGAAAAATTAAAGAGATTATGGGGTGAGCAGTGTGACTCGGATGTGGAATGAATTGGCCTGTGCTGGGCTTCCATGTAACCTGAGTGCCACAGAAGAATCTTAGCTTAATCCAGATCATGTGTATTTCACTTTCGTTGTGAATTTGTTGTAATCATTTTTCTGACATTAATAAACCAATTTTGGTGAACAGTGCTCCAAGAGTCAGGATCGAAAATCTGAAAGCAAAGAGAAGAGAGACATGTTATCATTTGACAAAATCAAAGAGCAGAGGGAGCGAGAGCGCCAGAGGCAGTGGGAGCGGGAAATCCGAGAGTCGGAGAGGCGGCGGTGAGTGGGGCAGAGCAGGCTGCTGGTCTGCTCTGGGGATGGTTGTCCTTTCTCCCCCAGTGAGTCTCCTCTGTAGCCTGGGCTTGCAGGCCATCTTGTGTGTTTCCCCTGGGGTCAGAGGGACAGTATGATATTCATCAAAAGCCCCCCCTTTTTTCTTCCAAATAGAATTTATTTGGGTAACATTGGTTTATAAAATTATATAGGTTTCAGGTATACAATTCTACAATACATCATCTGTATATTGAATATGTGTTCACCATCCCACCATCAAAAGCCCATTTCTGCTGAGCAATTCTTCTGGCTGACAGTGGACCCTGGCCCGTGAAGCTCACTCAGGGATGGCTTTGATGGAAGGGTCCCAAGTGTCGAGGTCTAAGTCTTCCCTCTGGAAATGTATATAAATAAGTGAGATTTAAAAAATAATAATAAGATTTTTTTTTAAAAAAAAGGCAACCAAGGAATGTGGCAGTTTTATTGCCGATGTTACAGGAGTGTCCTCTTCACCCCTGGATGTCTGCGTTTATGGCCTTTTCCGGCAGCAAGGGTCGCAGTCATATTCTTTGCCCTCTCACCTTTTTTAAAAAAAATAATATACTTTTTATTCATTTTTTACAGAGAGGAAGGAAAAGGGATAGAGAGTTAGAAACATTAATGAGAGAGAGTCATCGATCAGTTGCCTCTTGCACACCCCCTACCTGAGATGTGCCCGCAACCAAGGTATATGCCCTTGACTGGAATCGAACCCGGGACCTTTCAGTCCACAGACCAAATTGGTTTCGGCTCTCACCTTTCATTAAGAAGATAGTCTATTGGAGGAAGCCTGTCATTTCCACTTCTGTATTCTGCCATATCATGTCAAGACATTTAAAGCCCCCTGACATTTCCTTCCAGTGTTGTTCCATGAAACAAAAGGTTTACATCACAGTGTTTGTAGAACTTTCTTGAGCTAAAGCAGATCACATACAACCCTCTTAAGTTATGCTACGTTTATCTGAAGTCACGTGATTTCAGCTCGTGCCTGTGTCACTTTAGGAAATGAAAGCACGTTGAGAAGCCCTTTGATCCCATTCGGAGGTATTTTGCTTCCAGCTTGCTCCTGCTTGGTTTGGAGGCTCTCCAGGCACTGGTGGAGAGTGAGAAAAGCGACAGCATGTCCTTTTCTCACACAGAGGGGTCGTCCCAGTCTCTGCTCAGCTCTTGGTGTGCTGTGACCGAGGACATGAGACCTTGGTCCCAGCTGCCGGTGCCAGGCCAGCATACAATCACCACTAGGCTTTGCCTATCCCCACACCTTCCTAGGTCTATTCAAAATGACACTCATTTCAAAATACAGTGTTTTTAGGGGGAAGATGTACAAAAGAGGTGGCTCATTGACAGCATTAATCTACAATAGAGTTATCTTTTTGCTCTCAGGGAAAGCTACTATAATTGCTTCTTAAGGGTTTTCTCTGTATACACAGCAGTTACCCTTTGCTTTTCTGACTTTTCTCTACCTTACTGATTTGTGGCTTTATTTATTTATTTAATATATTTTATTGATTTTTCACAGAGAGTAGGAGAGAGGGATAGAGAGCCAGAAACGTCGATGAGAGAGAAACATCGACCAGCTGCCTCTTGCACACCCCCCATCGGGGATGTGCCCGCAACCAATGTACATGCCCTTGACCGGAATTGAACCTGGGACCCTTCAGTCCGCAGACCGAAGCTTTACCACTGAGCCAAACCGGTTTTGGTGATGTGTGGCTTTATTTGGGGGCCTTTGAGCCAAGTCCTCCTGGCCTGAACCTGAGCTCTGTGTCTTCTTGCTGGTCCCTCCCAGCCCACCTGTGTCTTTGCTTTTTTGAGAAAGGGAAAGTTTGGACATTGGGGCTTCTGGCTGTTCTGAGCAACTTAGTGGGAGTGGGTAAGCACCTGCCACCTATAGCCTGGCCCAAACCAGTGAGCATCCAAGAAACCCAGAATGGCCAGGTGGAGGTATCCTGGCCCCCTTGGAGGGCAATGCCTCAATGGTCAGGGACCTCCCTCCAGAGTGGCCTGCTGTGTCCCTGCAGAGAGCGCGAGCAGCAGGAGCTGGAGGCCTGGAAGGAGAAGGCACGGCTGCACCGGGAGCGCATGGAGCTCGAGTGCCAGCGTCACCTCCTGGAGCGGGAGCGCATGCGAGTGGAGCGGGAGCGCAGGAAGGAGCAGGAGCGCATTCACCGAGAGCGGGAGGAGCTGCGGCGTCAGCAGGAACAGCTACAACAGCTACGCTATGAGCAGCGGCAGGGCTTCCGGAGGCCCCATGACGATGGGCGGTAAGGATCCAGCCCACCTGCTGCCTAGAGGGGTGGCCTCTCCTCCCGTTCAGGAGCTGCTTTCGGCTGCTGTCCATCTGAGTGTTGGAGAATCAGGGCTGTTTACCACGAAATTTGGACACCTGTCCAGAACTCGTTGCCCTCACCACCAGGGGTGTGTGTAGTTTGATGTCAGACTCTCCTGGCTGTGCAACTTTCTCCCCAACTGAGTTCATGGAGATAGTTCCAGTGCTGAAGGGTTTGTGATGCTTCCGCTTAGGCTGTGCCATTATTTGCACTGATTCCTGGTGGAGCGTCACCACCCTCCAGGTGCTGTTGCAGGAGACGACCAGGCGTGCATTAGGCCCTCATTGGCCACGGCCGCCACTCCACGTCGTGTCCTTGTAGGGGGAAAGGCACAGAGTTGGCACTGGGGATAAGGATATTACCTTCTGTTTTCAAAGTAGGTTTATTGGTCTCTAGCTTCTCTGAGCTGCTTAATTGTCAGTCACCCATTACCTCACCACCCATGAGCCTAGTTTTCTGGTAAAAATCAGGAAGAAGATAATTGGATGCTGTCCTAAGCTGTATGTAGTTCACTATCACGCGATCTAATTCCTTTGCCTTTTGCATAAATCTCAGGGGGAGGTTCAGGTTATAGAAGATGGGAAGCTGAAAACGTGGCACCTCAGAATACCAGTCTTGAAGAATCAAGTATTTTTATTTCACTTGCATTTGAACTCAGGTGGGGATCAAGGTATTAACAGCGTTATGACACAATTAGCTGACAGCAGTCCGATTTTCAAAATTGTCAGATGAGAATACTCGTGCCTCTTGGCAGTTTTGGGAATATTAATTTATCCAATCAAAGTGATAGTGGTTGAATGTTTAGCGATTAGCCCTGCAGTACATTTTAAATGATGCTGGGTCTGGAGAGAGAGCTCCCCTCCCCACCTTCACTCCCTTTTTTTTTTTTTTTGTTCTCTTTCATAAGTAAAATTTCCCTCCTTTTTAAAACAGGCGAGATGATGCCTATTGGCCAGAAGGAAAACGTGTGGCCCTAGAGGACAGGTACCGCCCGGATTTCCCTCGGTACGATCACCGCTTCCACGACTTTGACCATCGAAGCCGAGGCCAGTACCAGGACCATGTGGTCGACAGGTCAGCCCCCCGACCCCCTTTTTGCAGTAGAGACAGGTCTCTCTCTGTTCTCTTAACGTCTGATTTACTTGTGAGGTGCTAGTGGGTAGGGTTTGACCAGCCACACATGGGATTCAGAAACAGGCCTTGAGCAAAGTGTCGGAATCGTGGTCAGTTATGGCATCCGGGACTTGTGTGGCAAGACGGTCCCCCAGACCTCATTTCATCCACTGTCCTTTGCACGGAGAGGATGGATGGGGCCCTCGACAGGACCTGAGCCTCAGAATTCCGCAACACTCAGCTCTCTTGGGGGTGGCCCAGGCTCTGGGTTTCACACCTCCCTGGTGATTCCTCCCTGTCCCTCACGTCAGCAACAGCCCCCAGGATTCACTATCACCCGATCTAATTCACTTCGCCTTTTGCATAGGGAGGGAGGAAGCAATTAATAAACAGAGATGAAGAAGCAGTTTTTAGAAGAGGTGTGACCTGCCTAAGCTGGTGAAGGCAGAGTGGGTAGGAGGGTTTACTGACAGGTGTAGGTTTCTTTGCCAGCAAACTACAAAGAGAACTGACCAGAGAATGTGGGGCAGTTCTCCCTGGGCCTTGTTTTTGTTTTGCAGGTCAGGGTGGGTTTTTCAGCCAGTGTTTTTTCTTTGCCATGCCTGATTTAACGAGGACTAGATTAGGAAGTCAGCCCTCACCTTTCCAGGTGAAGAGTTCTCTCTCTTTGGGAGAAATCCCATTGGACTCCCCTGGGCTACATATCCTGGAGCCATTTCACATTCATTAGCTCTCTGGAAGGGAAGGGAAAATGTGGCTAAAAAGCTACTTATTTAATTCATTGTAGCTGGAGTTTTTTTGAGATTTGGTGTGAATCAAATGTGTTGAGCCAGAGGTTAGGTTTCCCTGTTACCAGGCCATAGGTAAGTGAAGCCTTAGCTTCATTCACGGGTGTCCGCTTCTGAGACCCTTCCCTCTGGGATATTTCAGTAAAATTAATATTTCCACCTTGTTAGGATCTGACTTTACTCCCACCCCCAGGGAAAGATGTGAGCCTGCTTTTTTTTTTTTTTTTTTTTTTTTTTTTTTTTTTTTTTTTTTTTTTCTAATGAGGCAGTTCTTCCGTGGGGAAATAGAATGAGTACCCCAATTGTGGCTTTTGTGGGACCTGTAGAAATGTTGTATGGTACCATCAGCTGCCATTGGAGTTAGATTCTTTTATTTATTTATTTTTTCAGGAGGGAGGGCTCAAGGACAGTGAGGGGAGAGCGAGATGGACAGGTGAGTAACAATCCAGACATTGGGTGCCTGCTCTGTGTCTGGGCGGGCAGGGGAGCATAGGCACAGCGCCCTGGAGAATAAGTAACATGCAGAATTGCTTATTTTCTGATAAGTGGAGGCTTTGTTCAGATGCATAGGGCTTGTTCTTGTTTCATTTTATCTAGCAGAAACTGCAAGTAGCTCTTGTTGCCAGCTTGCTTAGAGTGCCTCTGAGTCTCGGGACTGTGGGTACCCCAGATGGGCTTAGTTGCCTATCAGGCAGTCACTTAGCCCATGTTTGGTGGTGGTGGGAATCCCTCTGTTTCAGGTGCCTCTGGGGTAGATCCCAGTGCCTCTCATCTGCCGATACCTGGTGAGGGATGCATAAGGTGTCAGTTCAGAAAATAGGGGAGCCTGCCAGGAGAAAGGCAGGGGACAGGCATCGGCAGCATAGTTCTTCAAACAGGAGTGTGTGTTCCAAGAACAGTAGACCAGCTCCATCACTGCCCAGATGTGCTGGATTCCTGAGCACAGAATGGTTGGCCAAGGCTCTGAAGTTCTCTGCTGCGCTTGCCTCTTGTGTCAGCTACTGAGGAGCCGTGCCACCTCCATAGATTGAGGACAAAGGAGGAAGTCAAGGGGACCTCCTGTTATCAGCAAGGAAGACTCTAAGTGACTTTTCTCAGTGGATCACACAGGGCCAGAGAGGCTTATGCTGGCACTTTGTGTGGCACCAGTGATAGAGCTATAGGGACTCTCAGTTCTCAAGCAAGGAACAAAGAGCTCTGCCATGAGCTCCTCAGGTATCGTCAGGGTCGCAAACAGAGCATCCAGAAGCTAGCAGGATTCAGAAGGGGCCTGGGCAGGCCCTCTCAGAGTGGCCAGAGGCGCTGTGGCACACCCTGGCCCAGCCCGCAGTGTGTATAGGTTGACAGGCCTTCCAGAGGTGAACCTGTACGGGTCTGTAGGGAGTGAGATGGCTCGAGTCGCCCTGTCCTTCTGCCTTTCAGCACTACTCAGATGACCGCCATGGCCACGGAGGACCACCAGAGCGCCACGGCCGGGACTCTCGGGATGGCTGGGGGGGCTACGCCTCAGACAAGAGGATGAGTGAGGTCCGGGGGCCACCACCTCCACCCAGGTTAGTGGGCAGCCCATGATGGCGGTGGGCATCTTCCCCTGGCTGGAGGCCCGCCCCTCTGAAAATGAACTGGCTGTGTGCACCTTGCCAGGTTGCCTGCATCACCCCAGTTAACATCTGTATCACAAGGCCCTGCCTGCTGAAGGAGACATCCCTGAAGCTCTCCTTAAATTTCTCCCCCTACAGTCTTATGCTAGCGGTTGAGAACCGCTAGCAGGGTCGCCTAAGACCATCGGAACACACAGATATCTACATTACGATTCATTAACAGTAGCAAAATTAAAGTTATGAAGTAGAAACAAAAATAATTTTCTGTTGGGGGTCATCACAACACGAGGAACTGTATTAAAGGGTTGCGGTATTGAAAAGGTTGAGAACTATTGCCCTTGACAATATAAAAGCTTTACTCCCCCACATCCACACCCTCCCCTCCCCAAAGTTTTCTGTAGGAATTTTGAAGGCCAGCATCTTGGATACCAGAAGGTTCTACTTTATCTCTCGTGGGGTTTCAGGGGTTCAGTCTGATAGATTAATGCAAAGTGTGCTTTCCCGAGCCACCTACTTAGCACTCAGTGTACATTTAAACCATTTTCCTTAAGTACCTGTGGGAATATAAATGAGAGAACTCTCTTTTTCAGACTGTTGACAGCCCTGAACAGCCTCACTGCATGATTGGGTGTTGTCACCTGTTGGCAGGCATTAGAAACTTTCGGGTCTCACTTTTGGGGAGCAGTTTTGCATTTGCCCTCACAGACGTGTTGGGGGCTCTGGTGGATTCCTAGTTCTTGCCTCTGAGCACTTGTCAGCCCAGTGGCCAGTACACTTGTCATTCTAGACTCAGCCTTGGTCTTATCATTCTTGGACAGTCATTTAAAAAAAATATATATTTTATTGATTTTTTATAGAGGATGAGAGAGGGATAGAGAGTTAGAAACATTGATGTGAGAAAACATCAATAAGCTGCCTCCTGCACACCCCGCACTGGGGATGTGTCCGGAACCAAGGTACATGCCCTTGACTGGAATTGAGCCCTGGGACCCTTCAGTCCCCAGGCCGATGCTCTATCCACTGAGCCAAACTGGTTTCAGCCCTGGACGGTCATGATGACTGCTGGTGCCCTTACACTGGGACCACATTTGGATTTTAATCTCACAGAATTTCTGTCTGAAACAATTATTTAAAAATATTTTTGTATTGCTTTTTAGAGAGAGGGGCAGGGAAAGGGATAGAAAGAGAGATTGGCTTTTTCCTACATGACCCCAACTGGGAATTGAGCCCACAATCTGGGCATGTGACCTGACTGGTAATCAACTAGTAACCTCTTGGTATATTGGTTGATGCTCAACCATTGAACCACACCAGCCAGGCTCTTTTTCAAACAGTTTTTTTGACACATAGTTCACATGCCATACAGTTCACCCATTTAAAGTGTACAGTTTGCCCTAGCCAATTTGGCTCAATGGAAAGAGCATGAACCTGTGGACCAAAGGGTCCTGGGTTTGATTCTGGTCCTGGACACGTATCTTGGTTGCACTCTCCTTCCCAGCCCGATCCCTGGTCAGGGCTCCTGCGGGATGCAACCAATCAGTGTGTTTCTCTCACCTTGATGTTTCTCTCTTTCCCTCTCTCTTCCACTCTCCCTAAAAATCAATGGAAAAATATCCTCAGGTGAGAATTTAAAAAAATAAAGTAAAATCTACAATTCAAAGGCCTTCAGAATGTTCATAACAGTCTATTTTTAGAATATCTTCCCACAAAAAAATCCTTGCCCTGCCAAAAGCGTTTTGGCTCAGTGGATAGAGCATCAGCCTGTGGACTGAAGGTTCCAGGTTCAATTTCGGTTAAGGGCATGTGCCTTGGTTGTGGGCACATCCCCGGTAAGGGGTGTGCAGGAGGCAGCTGATCAAAGTTTCTCTCATCGTTGTTTATAGCTCTCTCTCCCTCTCCCTTCCTCTCCGTAAAAAATCAATAAAATAAATTAAAAAAAAAAAAAAGTCTTGCCTAGCTTAGTTGTTGGCAAACTGTGGCTCGAGAGTCACATGCAGCTCTTAGGTCACTTGAGTGTGGCTCTTCCACAAAATACCTCGGCCTGGGTAAGTCTATTTTGAAGAAGTGGCATTAGAAGAAGTGTAAGTTTAAAAAATTTGGCTCTCAAAAGAAATTTCAATCGTTTCACCGTTGATATTGGCTCTGTGACTAATGACTTTACTGACCACTGCCCTAGCTGGTTTGGCTCAGCCAATAGAGTGTTGGCTTGTAGACTGAAGGGTCCCAGGTTCTATTCTGGTCAAGAACACATGCCTGGGTTTCAGGCTTGATTCCTGGTAGGGTAGGGGACGTGAAGGAGGCAACTGATTGATGATTCTCTCTCATCAGTGATGTCTCTCTCTCCCCCCCACCCCCACCTTCCTCTCGGTGATAAATTAAAATATATTAAAAAAAAAATCCTTGACCTGGCCCCCTCATTTTCTATCCCCTCCACCAGCCCCTAGCAATCGCTAACCCACTTCCTGTTTTCCTGGATGTGCCTATTTGGACATTTCACATAAATGGAGTCAAATTCTTTGTGGCCTTTTGTGTGTAGCTTCTCTCACTGTGCATCATGATTTCAAGTTTCATCCACGTTTTAGTGAATGACAGTGCTTCTTCATTCGTTGTTGTTGTTTTAATTTATTGCTTTGAAAGAGAGAGAAAAACATTGTTGTTCCACTTATTTGTACATTCATTCGTTGTCCCTGATATGTGTCCCGACTGGAGATTGAACTTGAAACCTTGGTGTTTCTAACCAACTGAGCTACCTGGGCAGGGCTTTTTCTTTTCTTTTCAGATTTATGAGTTTACTAGAGGCCTGGTGCATGAAATTTGTACACTCAGGGGATGTGACTCAGCCTGGCCTGTGCCCTCTTGCAGTCCAGGAGCCCTCAGGGGATATCCAACTGCCTGCCACGGCCTCTGCACTCACCAGCCATGAGCCCGGCTTTGGTTAAGCAGCACTCCCCCTGTGGGACTGCACTGACCACCAGGGGGCATCTCCTGTGTTGAATGTCTGCCCCCTGGTGGTTGGTGTGCATCATACCGACTGATTGTTCTGCCATTGAGTCAATTTGCATATTAGCCTTTTATTATATAGGATTTGAGCCAAGCGAATGATATATGCTGGGAAACTAGAACTCAAATGTTCCCGCTTCACTCCCTTTCATGGTCACATAATGTTCCCCAGTATGGATGACCACTTCTTATGTATCCATTCATGAGTTGAAGTACAAACACTTGGGTTATTTCCGTTTGGGGACTATTATGAATTATGCTTTTAACAACATTTATGTACAGGTTTTTGTTAACATATGTCCCCTTCCCTAGACACTTAGGAGAGGTGTTGCTGGTTCCATTGTCCTTAGAAGGTGAACCTTTTGAGGAACTACTGCTGTTGTTTCCCCCAGAGGCTACCCCATTTTCGGTTCCCGCCAGCGGTGTGAGGGTTCCAGTTTCTCCACATCCTCACCAGCACTTGTTACAGTCTGTTCTTGTTTTTTATTGCTTTTTTTTTTTTTTTTTTTTTTAAATCTTGACCTGAGGTTATTTTTCCATTGATTTTAGAGAGAGAGGGAGAGTGGAAGGAAGAGAGGGAAACATTAATATGAGAGAGACACACTGATTGGTTGCCTCCCACACACACCCCAACCAGGGCTGGGAATTGAGCCTGCAACCCAGATACATGCTCTGACCAGAATAGGACACCTGACTGGAATCAAACCCTTAACCTTTCAGTCCAAGGGTTCACACTTCATCCACTGAGGCAAACCTGCTAAAATTGATCTTTTGTGTATTTTTTGTTTGTTTTTGGTTTTTTGAGAGAGAGAGAGAGAGGGAGAAAGGAGAAAGAGAAACATCAATTTGTAGCTCCACCCATTTATGCATTCATTAGTTGTTTCTTGTATGTGCCTGACTAGGGATCGAACCGACAACCTTGGTTTACCAGGACAACATTCTAACCAACTGAGCTGGGTGACCAGCACCTATCTGATAAGAGTCATGGCGTAGCTGAGATGGGGGTGCATCTCAATCATCTGGTTGAAATGTTACCGATGCTGACCACGTTCTTGTCTGCTTATTGGCCATGCGTGTACCTTTGGAAAAGTGTCTGTTCCCATCTTTGCCCACTTCCCTCAGAAACGATCGGTACAAGGTGTGAAGGCTGAAGCCATGGCACAGACTTCTCTAGAGGCACACTGGGGTGTATCTGCTTTTTTCCCCCCTTTCGGTACAGGGGTGGACATGACTGGATGGAGCACAGTCAGAGGCTGGAGGAGCACCAGGAACGTGCCTGGCCAGGCATGGTAGATGCAGGCACGGCAGGCCGGGAGCACGGCAGATGGCTAGGTATGGGCTAACTACTGCCCATGGGGGTGGGGGGTGCTCCCAGGAAGGGTTGGCCAGTCCCAGACCTCTCCACGGGCCAGCTTCTCCCTCCCCCCCCCCCCAGCTTTTCCAGAAACTTCCAAGAAGGGAGTGTTTGCAGACTCTTCTCTTCCAGGTGCTGAGAGGGGCCTCTCTGGACCCTCAGCGACAGGGCACGTGGCCAGTCGGGGTGGATTGTCAGGGTAAGAAGTTTTGTCCCCGGATAAAATTGATTTGTTTCTGCTTCTCACTTCCTCTCCCTTTTGTGCATGTTTGATCAACTTGCTGGGTTGTATGGTTTGAAAACAAGCCCCAAAAGCAGCTCTTGGTAACTAGTGCAAATAACACTCTCCAGGAACCTGGAATGTAGTCTGTAGTTACGCTGTTTCTCACCCGGAAAAAGCCATGCGGGCTCTGAAGGCTGCAGAGCTGCGTGCTGCCATGTGATGGTGAAAATGTAAAGCATTTCAAGGGGCAAACGTGTGCCTTTGTTCCTAGGCGAGGCGGCTTTGCACAAGATGGGCATTCCCAGGGCCACGTGGTGCCCAGTGGAGAACTGGAAGATGGAGGCCAGGCCGGCCAGGACCGGGGCAACAGAGTCCCGCACCCCCACCCCCCTCCATACCCCCCCTTCACTCGCCGCTACTAAACCCCACTCCCTCCACGTGTTCAGGTAGGCAGATGCACTGTTGAATTTCTTAGCCAGTTATCTTGAACTTGTGGAATCTTTTAAGAAACAACAAATTCTGCCGTCATGTAGTAGCTCGGTAATATGTGAACTCATTTTTTTTTTTTAATAAGCCTGTTCTTGTTCTGCCATTTTTGAGACAAGATTTCTATAATGAGGCATCCCATTTTCCATTAATATAAGTTTATGGTTCAAATTCTTGTGTGTGTGTGGTGGTAATTACAGAGCAAAGAATAATACCTTCAGCACCACCATTGCTCACTTGGTGATGGCTGCCAGCTCATCATACTTGAATTCTTCCAACCGTTGATAAAGTGAGCATCATCTCCCCATCTGAGAAATAAGGAGCCAGGTGCAGGGATTAGATCATGTGACCAAGGTGGCAGAGCTGGGATGGGAATTGGGAAATTTTCATTGAGGGGAGGGGTGTGTGCATTGTGGAGCCCCTGACCAGTCACTTCACTCTGTGCCAGAGTGCCTGGGGCAGCGTCCAGTGATGGTGTGAGGTTTGGGGGCCTGGCTAAGGGATGGGCACATGTGTCGGGCCCTACAGTGTAGCTGCCCTGGGCCCCCAGAGCACACTGGCTCTTCTAAAAGAACCACAGGCTCAGTGCGCCTGGTCCAGTCATGTTTCTGGAAGAGAAAATTTTCATGTGAAGTCTCCTCATTTGTGATAGAGTTGATTCCGGTTTTCTTCACTAAAGACTACCGAATAAGGCACCTGGCTGGGCAGAGGTGCCACATCGCAAGTCCGAGCAGGCCCCTGCAGGGGCCCCACAGTGAGGTGCTTCCCTTCTAGGAGAAGAGCAGTGGCACAGGCAGACTGCCCCTCAGAGAGGGCACTGCAGGCATGTTGGGGCAGAAAAGCCATATCCGTCACCTCATGAGGAGGAGGTCTGGTGGCCACAAGGCTGGGGCAGGAGGAGGGTTCACTTCCCACCTGTCCTGGCCCCGGTCCAGTGTGGGAAGAGTTAATCCACTGTGCTACCTGCTGGGAACCTCAATTCCCTTCCCTTGGTAACTGGGACAGCCACCCCACAGGCCCCAAACAATTGCCAGTTCTCCCTGAATACCCTGTGTTCCTGCTGGGCTGTTTAGTTTTAAAAGAGCAATCTGAAAATCCTCCCACCATCAAAGGCAGGCAGTGCTGGCCCTTGTGACCTGTCTGTCTGAATTGCTGCAAATAAACACTTTGTGAGCTTTCCCCACCACATGGGTTCCCAGAGTCGTTTTCCAATGACAGGCTGACAGGACATCGGCCCCATGTTGCGGACGGGGGACGACATGGCATATTGCTTCCTGCACAGAAGTCTGTCTCTGCAAAGTAGAGACAAAAAGCCAGACTTAGCCTGAGGTAGTGGGTGAGAGCAGTTTAGCTGTGGTCACGTAGCTGTAATGGAGCCATTACTCGGGCAGGCAGAGTTGCATCCTAGAGTGCCACCAGGGTGCTCAACTGGGGCACCGCCACCAAGCTGCTTGGGGAAGCCTTGGACAGCCCCTTCCCAGTTAGCTGGGCCTTTTTTGTTAATCCTTTTAATAAAAGATGTTTTTGTTTTGTTTTTGTTTTTTCCCATTGATTTTTATTGTGGAAGGAGGGTTGGAGGGAGAGAGAGAGACATGGATGTGAGAGAGACACATGGATTGGTTGCCTCTCTCCTACATGTGCCCCAACCTGGCCTAGAATTTAACCTGCAACCCGGATACGTGGTCTTGAACAGGAATCTAACCCTTGACCCTTGAGTGCACAGGCCAACACTCTAACCACTGATCCATGCCAGCCAGGATCCAGCTCTGTTTTATTAGTATATAGAGACACAAAATATTTAGTTTGCTAGGGCTGCCATAACACAGTACTGCAAACTGTATGGTTTGAAACAAATTTATTCTCTCCCAGTTACGGAGGCTAGAAGTTCAAGATCAAGGTGTTGGCAGAGCTAATTCCTCCTGAGACCGTGAAGGAGAATCAATTTCTGGCATTCTTGCCATGGGAAGCATCGCCCTATCTCTGCCTCCTTTACCCAGCCTCCCTGTGTGTTTGCATCCAAATGTCCCCTTTTTATAAGGACACAGTCATACTGGATTAGGGTCACCCTGATGACATGTTACCTGTGTAAAGGCCTTGTCTTCAAATGGGGTCACATTCTGAGGTGGGGGCCAGGACTTAATATGGATTTTCCCAGGAGTGCAACTTCTGGGTAAATTGAGAGTAGTGCTTATTGTTCAGTATAGAACCTTACCAAGAGTTGCTCACCATTTCTGTGAGCAGAGCTTCTGGGGTCTCTGCCTCCCTGCTGATTCTGCCTGATGGGCATTGTCTGAATAGGTAGGTCCTCACCTTCTTGCTCAGTGTCGGACATTCTTGTTTTTTCTGTCTTATCTGATAATGCATCACATTGGTTGGATTGTTCCTTTTTTTAAGTTGTGTGTAGTTAGGTTATATTCACTCTGATTTTTATTTCAGGAGAGAAAAGAGGAGGTGGAACAAGATATCTGTTATGTAAAAGGGGCTGCAGCCCTGGCCAGTGGGTTCAGTGGTTAGAGCATCGACCTGAAGACCAAAGGGTCACTGGTTGGATCCCCAGCCCTGGTCCGGGTACATGCAAGAGGCAACCAATCACTGTGTCTCACATCAGTTTTTCTTTCCCTCCCTTCCTTTCACTCTAAAAAAATCATTGGAAAAATGAAAGAGGCACTCAGGTTGTTCCATCCTTTGGCTTCTGTGCATAAGGCTGCCATGAAGACAGGTGTATCTGTTTGCCATTCTTTTGGTGGAGACTTTTTAACTTGAGGAACCGCCTAAATGTGGCTGCACCATTTTCTATTCCTATCAGCCATGCACAAGCTTTCTAATTTCTCCACATCCTTGCCAACACTTGTTAGTTTCTGGTTTTGTTTGTTTCATTTTATTTTTTTGTTTTTGTTTTTGTTAATCCTTGCCTGAGGATATTTTCCCAATGATATTTAGGGAGAGTGGAAGAGAGTGAAAGAGAGAGAAATGTAGATATGAGAAAAACACATAGATTGATTACCTCCTGCTCCAGGCCCCGGGCCAGGTAGGAGCCTGCAACCAAGATATGTGCCCTTAACCGAAATCGAACCGGGGACCTTTTGGCTGACAGGCCAATGCTCTAGTTACTAAGCCAAACTGGCCAGGGCTATCTGTTTGTTTTATGATAGCCATCCGGACAGTAGAATACTATTGTATTTATCCCCAAAAAGGGACACCTGCTACAAAGAGATGGACATTATGCTCAGTAAAATAATCCAGTCACAAAAGGACAAATATTGTGTGATTGCATTCATAAGAGGTCCTTAAAGGAGTCAGATTCATAAAAACAAAGCATGTTGTGGGCCCTAGCTGGTTTTGCTCAGTGGATAGAGCATCGGCCTGTGGACTGAAGGGTCCTGGGTTTGATTCCAGTCAGGGGCACATACCTGGGTTTCAGGCTCAATCCCTAGTAGTGGGTGAGCAGGAGGCAGCCGATTCTCTCATCATTGATGTTTCTATCTATCCCTCTTCCTTCCTCTCTGAAATAAATAAAATATATATTAAAAAAATACTTTTAAAAAAGAAAAAGAAAGTATATGGTGGGAGCCAGGGGCTGTGGTAGAGGAATGAGAAGTTAGTATTTAATAGTATTTAATAGGGACAGAGTTTCAGTTTGGTAATATGAGAACATTCCTGAGATGAAGGGTGGGGATGGTTGCACAACATTGTGAATGTACTTAATGCCATTAAGTTAAATACTTCAAAATTGTGCCCTGGCCTGTTTGGCTCAGTGGATGGAGCGTCAGCCTTCAGAGTGAGGAGTCCTAGGTTTGGGGGCCCAAGTTTGACTTCGGTTAAGGGCATGTACCTTGGTTACAGGCACATGCCCAGTGGGAGGAATTCAGGACGTGGCTGATTGGTGTTTCTCTCATAGATGTTTCTAACTATCCCTCTCCCTTCCTTTCTGTAAAAAATCAATAAAATATATATTTTAAAAATAGTTACATTTTATGTATATTTAATCACAATCCTATCTAATAAAATGATAATATTCAAATTAACCTTCATTCCACCACAAAGATGGCAGCGCCCATAGCCATGAGATGGTGATGCCCAATCCTCTCAGCCCTGCTGGAGTCCCCCAGTCACGGGGGTGGGAGGGGTGGACACTGAGGGCAGGCAGCATGAGTGGCCTGGCAGAGTGCTTGCTTCGTTGCCCCGGCAATAAGGCAAGCATTCTGCGCCTGGCCACGGATAGGCCTCTGGGCCACAGAGAGCCTCTGGGCAGTGGGCATGGAGCAGCCAGGCCCTGCAGAGAGCTACTGCCCCACAGATTCGTGTGCAGGGCTACTGGTTTAAAATAATTTTAAAGGTGGGGATCTGTTAGGTATCAGGAGTGAGAACCACTGGAGTATAAACTGGGAAGCCAGGCTCAAGAACCAGACTGCTTAGAATCCAGCCGCCAGGCCTGGAGCGGCCAGGCCCGGAGCGGCCAGGCCGGAGCTGCCGGGCCCAGAGCAGCTCGGTTGGGAGCAGCCAGGCCGGGAGCAGCCAGGCCCGGAGCAGCAGCAACCAAGCCCAGAGCAGCCAGGTTGGGAGCGGCCAGGCCCTGAGCAGCTGGGTCAGGAGCAGCCAGGCCCAGAGCAGCAGCAGCCAGACCAGGAGCGGCCAACCGGGAGCAGCCGGGCCCAGAGCAACCGAGTCGGGAGCAGCCAGGCCCAGAGCAGCAGCAACCAAGCCCGTAGAAGCCAGGTCTGGAGCAGCCAGTCCCGGAGCGGCCAGGCTGGGAGCAGCCGGGTCGGGAGCATCCAGGCCCGGAGCAGCAGCAGCCAGGCCGGGAGCGGCAGTGGCCAGACCCGGAGCAGCTGGTTGTGGAGCAGACCAGAGCAACAGAGGCCAGGCCCAGAGCAGCCAGGCCCGGAACAGCTCGCTCCTTGCCTGCCCATGCCCCAGGGCTGCCTCTCAGACATGG